GTCGAGTCAGCATACGTACTAGGACACTCCATGGGTGGTATGCTAGCCACGCGATTCGCCCTCATGTACCCAGGACAAACATCCCATCTCATTCTCACGAACCCGATCGGCCTGGAAGACTGGAAAGCACTTGGAGTACCCTGGCGCAATCTCGACGCCTTGTACAAAGACGAGCTGGCCACCAACTATACATCAATCCGGAAATACCAACAGGCTACTTACTACGTCAATACCTGGAAGCCGGAGTACGACGTCTGGGTCAACATGCTTGTATCGCTTTACCAAACGTCACCCGAGAACATTGACTTCGCGTGGAATATGGCGCAGACGACGGATATGGTCTTGACTCAACCGATCGCGTATGAGTTCGAGCTGGTGCAGCCCAAGACGCTCCTCTTGATAGGAACCAAAGACACGACGGCTATCGGGAAAGCCTGGAGCCCGCCAGAAGTGCAGGCTAAGATAGGGAAATACGAGGTGTTGGGTAAAGAAGCAGCGGCGCGAATCCCAGACGCAGAGCTTATTGAGTTTGAGGAATTAGGCCACAGTCCACAAGTTCAGGACAGTGAGCGATACCATAGCGCGCTGCTAGGGTGGCTGGAGGGGTCTGACTAAACTTGTTGTGGCAGTGCGGATGCGTGATGCGTGACGGATAATGAATTGGGCAGCAGCAAAAAAAGATAAAAGATCATCGATTTTGATGGACGAAGTCAGTTTCGAACCCAGAGCAAAAATAGATCGCTTCAACCGAAGCCTGTATGTGAACGGATCACACCCTGCACGACAGGGTAGACATGCGAAGGACATACGCTACGGGCCCATCAGATTCTATTGAGATACTAGTAAATTATTCCGTATATATACTACGATACAGTGTTTCAATTACTTGGAGGTGATGGGTGAGAGCGCGTTTGTTTGTGTGACTGTGAGAACGGGGACGTGCAAACAGTTTCCGCACAGACTGGGTACATCACTGCGACAGGCCGGATAAGCAGACTATTTGAGTGAAAGGGACCACATCACTCGCATGTCGCGGGATGACATGTTAGCCCAGGTGCCGAATCTGTATGTCAATGTCACTATATCTGCGATTAAGTCACTGCCGCGTCAATACATCCAGAACGATCATCTAAAAATCACATTGACAACAAAGTTAATCGATACTATACCGCATACCCTTCTATCCATCTCAGAGCCACTGACACACTCCACGCCTCACTAACACCCTCACCAATCAGTCCTCATACTATAGTAAAAGTTCCCACTAACCTTCCCCAACAAATGATCCCCATACCTCCCCTTGCCATATCCGCCCTTCCCGCCCGTCCTCTCCACACACTTCCCCAACGGCTCAACCCACGCCTCAAAGTTCGGCTCATAGAAAAACGGCACACTAACCCTATACGCTTCCCCCCTATGAATAACCCGATGTTTAGTACTCTTCCACAACCCGTTCGTCCACCGCTCAATCATATCGCCGATGTTGACAACAAACGCGCCGGGCAGCGGGTTCGCGTTCAGCCAGGTTGTCCCGTCTTTGAGGAGGACTTGCAGGGAGGAGGGTGTGGGGTCCGTGAGGAGGAGGGTCACGCAACCGTAGTCTGTGTGGGCGCCGCAGGAGAATTGGTCGATGTTTTCGTCACCCGAAATGGGTGTTGTGAGGGGTGGATAACCGATCATGCGCATGACCCAGAAGGAATCGGAGCAGTTACGCAGGAAGATCTCTTCGTCTTGCGTTGATTGTGTTGCGCCTTCTTGAGGGGGACCGAGATCGAGAGCTACGCCCATGGCGTGGACGAGTGCTTCGCCGACTTTCTTGACGCGCGAGATGTATTCTTCGTACACGGGTTTGAGCTGTTTGGGTTTTTCGGGCCATAGATTAACTCCTTGAAGGCTCTTGACGCTGCCTGGTCCACCGTCACCTGGTTCCCGTTTCTCGGTGGGCCAGTCCCGGTACCAGTCAATGGCTTCTTGCATGTCTTGCAGCCCGCCCGTCACGTTTTCGCCCAGCCCCTGGTAGCCTCGTGCGCCGTCGCCTCCTTCTGGACTGCCGGCGTCGAAGCGCTTGATCTTGTTCTTTTCTTCTATGGTTAGAGAAAAGAATTCCCGCGCCAAATCGATGATTTCGTCGAGCTTGGTGGTGGGAATGCCGTGGCCGGTTAGGTAGAAGAAGCCGTAGTTTATGCAGGCGGCGTTTATGGCGGAGGCGGTTGTGGAACGGGCTTTTTGCGAAGAGGAGGGGTCCATGAAGGGCGATATGTCGATTATGGGAAGTCCATCCTTTTGGGCGGTGGCGATGGGCTTATCGTAGCGGGAGCCGGCGTCGGGCGTGGGGTTGAGGTTTGTGTTTGGTGAGGATGTGGTGCCATTTGGCTGCTTATCTCCTGCTGGACCAGGGGCTGTATTCATATCTGACATTATGTCTTCTTTCGAATGACCGTCTCTTCCTTGGTTTGCAGGCACTCTGTCGACTCAAAGATTGATGATGAATCGAATTGCCTCTGACTCAGACCCGATAGCGGTCTTAGTAATTCGCAATCAATCGACCTGGAATGAAGTTAGCAACTATGTATGATTCTGTATGATCACTACGTGTAAAGTTTGATGAGGTTGGCAAGTTGGTAGAAAGGTGTGTTGGATTGGAAAGGTCGAGATGTTGGATGTTCGGATGGCGATGCCTGATCGAGACTAGACGCGGTTTTTCTAGGGCACCTGAGCATGTTCAAGTCGGGACGCAATAGTGGTAGACATGCATCCAGATCATGCTACCACGCAGGAATTGATCAAGTTGATAACTACACACGCTATTTCTTCATGATCAAGATCTTCCACCACACGCATGGTGCACGTCAATCAGCTTGCTGCCAAACAATGCATGGCAGCAGAAAGCAGCGCCCAAAGAAACGCATCTGTACACGTGTAAACACAAGGTGCAAGATCATTCTGGCTATCATCGTGGCTTCATTTCAAGTATAGTGGTATATCGCTCTATCCACATGTCATGCATCGCATCATGATTAATTTCTATAGATGCACCTCTACCGCATCATCACGCACTGCCAACTAGCAACACACTGTTACCAATCGTGGTCATTTACATGATGACCTCGTTCGAGACGTCCTATACAACACGTTAGCACACGCTGAGAACACAGATATTAATTGACTCACCCTCTTGAGCTCCTTGTAGGGCAAGCAGACACAGTTTTGCACACGGACTTCATCAGCAACAGCACACTCCTTGCCGAGAATGGTGATGCTCTGGACCTTGACGCCGTTCTTGATGACGCTGGTCGTGTGGCTGGTAACGGGGGTAGGAGTGCCCTCAACACGCGCCCAAGCACCAACCTTGCTGTGCCAGCCGATGATGGTGTACAAGACGCAAGCGTCGTGCTTGATCTCAGAATCTTCGAGGACAATGGACTCCTTGACACGTACACCAGCGCCAATGACGACGCGGGGGCCGATGGAGACGTTGGGACCGATCTTGGCGGTTGGGTCGATCTGCGCGGATGGGTGGATGTAGACGGGGGGTAGGATGTTTGCGGAGGGTGCGGCGAGTTCTTCTGAGCCTGCCTGGAAGGCCTTTAGGAGGTACAGAGCATTCGCTGGCACGGCGGAACCAGCGGTCTTGATCTGGCGCCAGAAGTCCTTGGTCTCGAGGACGAAGAACTGCCTGCTGTCGGCGATGTCAGACAGCACATCCTGCTCCAACCGGATAACGGCATTCTCCTTGTTGTCATCGTCGTCGTCGTTTTGGTAGAAGGAGGATTCGAGGTTCTCGGAGGAGGGGTACGACAGCAGCCGTGGGCGCTCGGTCCGTCGCTTGATGGCGCTGCGGATGGCGGGGAAGATGCACTCGGTCGCGAAGAGGTAGACGCCGCAGTTGATGAGGTTGGAGATGTGCGATTCGGGCTTCTCGACGTAGTGGAGCACGCGCTTTGTGTGCGCGTCTGAGACAATGCATCCGAAGTTGGAGGCGGCGTCGTTGGCGACCCGCGTACCCAGCATTACGGCTTCCGCATCCTTGTCCTCGAACAGCTTGAGCATCTCCACCAGCGGGAACGAGGAGCAGACATCGGCGTTGAGCACGAATAGCTTCTCGGGCCTGCCCTTCAGTATGACGTCGCGGAAGTGGTAGAGACCGCCCGCCGTGCCCAATGCCTGGTATTCGCGGAGGTACTTAACGCTCAGGTGCGGCCAGCTGGTCGAGACGGCGTTGATGAACTGCTGGAAGACGGACTCCTCGTAGTAGCCGACGATGAAGACCTCCTTGATCTCGGGGACGTTTGTGATGGCGCGGAAGCAGTGCTCGATTATCGGGTGGCCGGCGATGGGGAAGAGCGGCTGGAGTAGCGTTAGCGGGGATGTCCTGGGGCTGTCTATTTCGCGTCGTCGCGTACCTTGGGCAGTTCCATAGACAGAGGCCTGAAGCGTGTGCCGCGAGAGGGGCCTCCGACCTGGTGCGGTGAGTATACATGGCAGCGTCGGTGTTATGGGCAGTGTCTACCAGAATCACGGCCTTGGTCGAGCCTCCAGACCCAGACGGAGACTTGGGCCTCATGGAGAGGGAAGGCGGTTGCAGACTCATAGTGGCGTACTTTTGGGTGTGAAAAAGCAAACTGGAATCGAGAGATCGTGAGAATGTCTCAAGATCAGAAGAAAGGTGCAGTGAGTACAATTGCGAATCTGGCCTTCAGGAACGAGTTGGTGGACCCTGGAAATCCAGCCCACGTTGGCGTTGGCGGTGAGGCGCCCTGGCGAATCGGGGCGTCGGCGCATCGTCAGGTGCATGTCGACTTCATCCCTTTTCACACGCCAGCCGTGAGGAATACGAGCAAGCTAAATCCGTCGCGCATACACGGATGTCACAGTATCAGCACTTCTGCTACCAAAATAACGATCTGGATTCAGTGATAGCTGCTAAGCATATCGTCTATCGGAACCTCCTACCACCTATGCTATACCTACTGGGGATTCCCATCAACCCTACACCACCACTACTTTCCTACGCCAGTCGCGAGCTTCTTGTTCTTCTTGATCAGCGCGTTGAGTTTCTTCTCCAACACATCGTGCTCTCTCCTCGCCGCATGCATCGCTTGCTCCGCCTCTTCCATGGTCAGCACACTACCTCTTCCTCTCCTTGTGTTGCCATATCCACCCATTCCAGCTGTCGTCTCAATCGCGTTCATCAATCCCTGCATATCCAGTCCGCTTCCACCGCCATTTCCAAAAGTTATGTTGCCGTTGCCGTCAAGGCCGAACTCTTGTGAAGACTGGTAGCCAAGTCCAGCACCCACGAGCGCTTCGAGACCCTGCACAAACACGCCGCCAAGCCTGTCAGCCGCCATCAATCCCATGCCGTCTATCTCTGTGCTTCCTACCGCTCCTCCCTCAACCACTGCTTTGGCCGCTTTGGCTAGTCGGTTCGAGTTGACAGAAATGTTCGCTGTTCCGGCGCCAGGTGCGCCACCAACAGCCGCCATCTCGGGACGTGGCTGGTTTGGCGGTGGGTTGTCCGTCTTCGGGAGAACGTATTGATTTAGGTAAGCGCCGGCATCTGCGGGTGTTTGCTGCTGTTGTGGGGGAGGGACCTGGGGCATGGACGCGTCCTGGCCTTGTACCGGTGGCAAGGGAAGGTTCGTCGAACCTAGAAGTCCTGAGGAATTGTCCAGTCGCGGCATCTGCTGTCCGCCGTTGGTGTTCAGCTTCTTACCTGCCTCCTTGAGTGCAGTGGCGATAGCTGGGAGGACGTCATTTGAATGCGCTGAAGTAGTCATACTGTGACCGTGTGCATTTTGCTTACGAGGGTGGAAGCGAGCATGGCCTTTGAGCTCCTCGATATGCTTCTCAAGCTCAAGTGCCTTGTTCTCAAGCTCCTCAGTCAACCCCCAGAAGAACTTGCCGTTGGGTGTAATCAGAGTCCTGGAGTCTGGCTTTGCATCCTGACTGTTCAGACGTACTGGCTTCTTCTTCGCAAGCGCCTCGAGGTCGGCTTGTGAAAAGTGCAGCTTCAGGTCCGGAGGTGTAGATACATTGCTATTCTGAGTAGAGCGGGTAGCATGAGCAAGTGACGAAGACAGCGGTTTGAAGAACTCAAGGGTCGATGCAAGGAGCTCGCCCGTACGCTGCAAGTCAGCCATGATCGACTGAGCTGAATGATCCCGCTTTTCCTTGGGCTGTTCGGGCTCCGGCTCCGGTTCAGGCGTTGCTGTTGCCGAGATCTTCGCTGACGAGACTCTCCGTGAGGCCACTGTCGGCACTTCAGGTTGTTCTTCTTCAACAGTAGCTGGCTTGGGCGAGGCTGGCTGACTCTTGAAGGCAGCGGCAATAGGTTTGGCGTTTGTTGTCGGCTTTTTGGCTTTTTTCTTGCGCCCAATGATGGGAGCTTGCATTACCTCAACATCGGACTTGTTGTCTTCCAGTATTTCTTCTTCTATCTGCTTCTTTCGCTCTTGTCTATCCTTCTTGGCTTGTGACTTTGTCTTCTTCCTAACAGGCGCAGTCCCGACCTTACCGCCGATCGGAGGCGGTGAGCTGGCCCTTGAAAATGATGTAGAGGTAACTGAAGCAGTGTCCGATATCATTTCGCTTGGCGTGCCTGGTATATTGACGGAAGCGATACTCGCTTGCCTAGATCGAAGCTTGTCGACCGTTGGGATCTGAGGCAAGGACGGTTGTGATGCCGCCGAAACAGGCGGTGGCACTTCTGTCTTTGGTGTTGCGACGACACGCAAAGTCCTCGGCGCACCCGCGCGCTTGATTGGCGATCCAGTCACCGCTGCGGCGGGACTTGGAGGCACAGAACCAGCTGATGTCGTTGGCACAGAACGATTGCTTTTTGCCTGAGAGTCTGTCTTAGATGAGGTTGGAGCTGGAGAGCCAGCTTCAACCGGCAATTTAGTTGCTGCTTGAATATCGAGTTTGCCAGGAGGCTGTCGCTTGGTCGAAGCTGGAGGTGTCGCAGTCGCCGCAGGAGTGCGCGCTGTCTCTTTCTGTGGCTCTCTCTTTGGGGTGGTCTGAACTGCAGCTTGAGTTTTCTTAGAAGCGCCCTTCGATTTTGGCGTGTCCTTGCTGATCGTTTCCGCCATCGACTTCTTGGCGTCTGGTGTGGACTTCGGTGTCTGCAAAACATCCTCTTTAACTGCTTTGGACGCCTCTCTAGGTGTGGGTTCCTTGGGTGTCTGTGGAACAACAACTGCTTCCCTGGTCGTTGTTCTTGAGGGCGTCGTAGGCGCAGGTGAAGGCTTGGAGACAGTGGTCGCGGTAGTTGCTGCTGCAGGAGTTGCAGGTCCAGTAGTCTCAGCTTTCTGCTTGCCCTTGGTATTCTTGTTAGGAGTTGAGTTGGGAAGCGGCGTGGCAGGTACAACAGGCACGGCCGGTATAATGGTCGAAGATGTAGTACGGGACATTGGTCGAGATCCAGCACGCGAACGTGACTCTTCAAGTACTGCTTTGGGAATTGCTGGTACTGTGAAGCCAGGGGGTATAGTAGGAGTCGATCGGCGAGGATGCTCGAAGAATTGGCCGCTTAGTGGAGTGCTTGGAGCGGGCCGTGTTGGCTCATTGTCGCTGTCGTTAACAAGTGCATCGACGTTGATAGATGCCTGTTCCTCTACACTCAAGGATCCATCATCTGCAATACTACGTCAGCACTAGAATCTTCAAAGTGTAAATTGACAAAAGCGAGGTCATGATCTAAGTACGGCGGCCGCCAGACGATGGTCAGGATGGGTTGACAAAAGCGTAAGGTACATCATGTTGCAAAGTCGTCTCTCGAACATCTTCGTCACTTGGTGGGCAAGAAAACAGTGAACAGGCCATCTCTCTATTAGAAAGTAAGCATGCCGACATGATGCGGCAGGAGGGGTAGTTACGTACATGCGATGGCCATGACGAAGACGACGAGAGAAGCCAACCTTTGCAGCGGCAGACAGCGCAATCCACCAAATCATAAAAGAAAATGAAAAGAAACGAGAAGGTATAGGTGCCGTGAAGACATGCCGGGGCCATATGCTTTGACAAAATCCGTGCAGTCCAATCATAACGCCAGGCGATCCAGTGTCGAAGCACTGAATATGTGCCGATGCATTCGCCGTAAATCCGAAACGCCATGCAGCCATCATTGAAGTAAAGTACTGAGACAAAATGTCAAGCCGCTAGGCCGACCCGAGTGCAGAATGAAAGTGACTACCATCGTCCAGCGCCGCCGTAGTTGTTGTTGGAATAGAGCGAAGAGAAACCACCTTGGCCTTGACCATACAAGCCCTGCCCGGCCATTCCGCCTTGGTGCAGCCTCGCCTGCAAGATACTCGGGTCTTGGACATCGGCAAGACCGCCACCCCCAGAGGAGGAAGTGTTGGCATGCCTATGCTTCTTGCCCTTTTTCTTGGATTTCTGCGAACCAGACTCCTGGTAAGCTCCAGGCGAAGGTCCATAAGGGAAGCTGAGGAGGCCAGGGGCAGGGGCAGGTGTGGAAGTTGAAGGATGTTGATTAAGGAAAGAAGGAAACATTGACTCACGCTTTCCAGCATCAGCTAACCTGGCACCGCCGTCCATGTTACGGCTGCGGAGCAGGTCCTGATACATGGCATCATTGTTGTTCCTTGCCGTTGCGCCAGCCCCATAAGGTAGACCACCAGTAGCGAAACCGTGGCCTTGACCGAACATGCCAGTCCCGCTGACCGGGGGTGTACCAGTAGGCTTAAGTCCTGGAGGGGGTCCCTGCACGTTGGTGAAGAACTGTCCACTCAACTGCTGATGCTGAGACATCGGGTTGAATTGGTTGGCGTTCTTGGGCATCATCGAGTTTTGCTGGCTCATCAACTTCTGGTTCGCGACAGGCTGCACATTCGCGGAAGCGGAAGCGCTGTCGTTGGCGAAGCTGAAGCGTGAAGTGTGCCTGGTATGGCCAGAAGCATTGTGCTGTTGAGGCTGCTGAGCACTCGGCATGTTGTTCAGAATGCCCGTGGCTTGGGTGCCAGACTTGAAATTGGAGAGCAACAGCTGCTGTTGTTGCTGAGGTGTAAGGCCTCTGTTACTCAATCCCAGGCTACTGAAGTCCTCGGCCAATGGCGTGTTCTGCCCGAAAAGGCTGCCTCCGAAACCTTGCTGACCAGGTGGTGCAATCGCGTGTTGATTGAGGTGGTTGGTATTTGTCTCGGGACCGTCTTCAGGCTCTCCGCCTAGCTGCAAGCTGCCGCCAGCCGTTGCTTCGTTGTCTTCACGCTCAGCAGCCGGGGCTTGTTGGGACGCTGCCTTTGCTACAGCTACAGCTTCCGCTTCCGCCTCGCGCTGCAATGCCAGTTCCTTCTCCTTCTTTTCTTTGATGGCACGACGCTTAGCACCGCCATTGGGATCCAGTAGTTGAGGGAACTCGGTGACAGCTTTCAGTTCTTCCTCCGACAAAACGGCGCTCGAGAAGACGAACTTAAAGTCTGGCGAGCAGATGACCTTCAGTAAATCGTGAATACCATTGTCGCGGGGCTTCGGAGGGCGGGCGGCGGGTGCGGGGGTCGGAGCAGGCGGCGGGGTGGCAGCCTTCGATGCTTGTGCAGCCTTCTCCTTTTCCCTCTCTTTCTCCTTTTCTTTTTCTTTTTCTTTGTCCTTGCCCTTCTTCTTTGGTGGCTCAGCTGCCTTCGATGGTTTGGGTGGTTGCGCGGGAACAGCGTTCGTGACCATTGGACTGGCGTTGTTCGAAGCGACCGTGGATCGGCTGGCTCGGCGTTCCAGCAACGCCTTACTTCCCCAGCTAGCGGTTGCAGGCAAACCGGGTGCCTCATGTATCGAGCTCGACGTATCGGTACTATCCTGTCGATGCATCGGGATCGCGGCAGCGACAGCGGGACCCTGGTGGGCGGGGGGCGCGGCTCGAGACGTAGACGATTGTGACGGTTGTTGCGTCTGGATTGAGTTCATCATGGAGAGATCTTGGCGAGTGAAGCTGTCGTTATCTTCGCCGGGTTCGTGCAAGAACATGCAATTGCGGTTATTGCAGGTCTCGCCGCGGAGGTACGCTGAGCAGTACTTCGTAGTACCAAATTGAGCCCTGCAAGAAACGTGAGCTTGTTACATGACACGTGTGCATGGATCGAGGTTCACATACCTCAATGTCCTCTCGCCATTCTGAGAACCGTCGACAGCATTGATGCACTTCTCTGCATCTTCCTTGCGAGCAAATGTTACATAAACACCCACCGACTGTTGATGCTGCGCGTTCTCCTTGGCTTTGCTGACGACAATCTTGAGGATCTTGCCGTACTGGCCGAAATAGTCGTCTCCACGAAGAGTCTTGAGCAGTTCGTCTTCGCGTATCGTCGGCGTGAGACCGGTCACGTATACGAGGTTCTTCTGGACGACACGCAGACCCGACAGATGCTTGCGGCTGAGAGAGTCGGCTTCGGCCTTTTGTGCTTCCTTCTGCCGTATCTGCGCGTTCTTTTTGGCCTTTTGCGCGATGAGCTGCTTGTGTTGTGCCATCCTGGGTAGTGTCAGATGTGTTTAGAGATGGAAGGTGCAGGGGACCCACTCTTCGGGGGAGATGGTCTTCCACTCGATCGTGGAGTCATCGTAGGGGCGGCGGCAGGCGGGACACAGGCCGTTCATGGTCGTCTTGATGTTGTTGTAGCAGAACTGACATATCTGGCACGTGGGTCAGCATGGGACTCGAGATGGTTCACCGAGTTTTGGCACAGAGGCGTACTTGGTAGCCGCATGGGCAGGGGCGGAAGTTCCTGTCCGAGAGGTCGAACTCTTCGACACAGAGCGGGCAGCACTCCTCCTCGTCATCGTCGACGAACTGGTCCTGCTGCAGTCGAGACATGGTGTGTGTGGTTGCGATGTGTTGTTGAGAGCGGGTGGCGCTCAAAGTAGAGAAACGTGGGGTGAGACGAGACCTGGGGGTCGGGACGAGAGGTCAGTAAGGAAACCGCGGAAGTACAAATAAACGCCGGCCGGAGTGTCGCTGTCGCTGGAAGAGGGATCCACAGGAGGTGATGGGGGTTAAGAGGCTGCACCTGCGCGATGGCACACCAGGTTCCGCTTAACGCTAGCGACTTACATAAGCGCGCATTTGCGGGTGGGAGCTGCGAACTCGACGACGTCGACGACATCACCACCCGCAGTCGCCCTCACCTGCTACATCGCGTAGCCTCACCACTCTCTCACCGCACACAATGGCCATGCGGCTAGCTGTAGGCCGGCCATTGGGCGCCGCCGTCCGCGCCTCGGGCTCCTCCCGCCATGCAGTTCGCACCTTTGCCTCCACGGCTCTCCGGGCAAAGGAAGTCGCGGGTCCCGAATCGGAAACGCCAAACATGAGGGTGCGCATGTCACATGATATGGCGAAGACGTGGTTTCTAATGTGATCGCAGTTTGCCCCCCGCGACGAGACCGTTACGCTCAAGCGCGCGATCGTGAACCCGGCCGACCACTACAAAGAGAAGGGCGAGGCTCTGCACAAGTATGGCCAGTACATCATGTCATGTCTGCCCAAATACGTCCAGCAGTATGTCAATTCACACCTGGGAGTAACTACCGTCTGACCCTACCCAAGGTTCTCCGTCTGGAAGGATGAGTTGACCATCTACGTCCCGCCCGCCGGCATCATCCCCACCTTTACCTTCCTCAAGTACCACACCGCCGCAGAGTACACACAAATCTCAGATATCACCGCCGTCGACTACCCCACCAAGGACCAGCGTTTCGAGGTCGTCTACAACATGCTCAGCATCCGTCATAACTCGCGCCTGAGGGTCAAGACGTACGCGGATGAGGCCACTCCAGTACCCAGTCTATGCGATCTCTACGATGGTGCCAACTGGTACGAACGTGAGGTCTACGATCTATTTGGTGTCTTCTTCGTTGGACACCCGGATCTGAGGCGTATCATGACCGACTACGGTTTCGACGGCCACCCACTGCGAAAGGACTTCCCCATGACTGGATACACTGAGATCCGATACGACGAGGAGAAGAAGAGGATTGTCGTAGAACCCCTGGAGATGACACAGGCTTTCAGGAACTTCCGTGGTGGTTCATCAGCCTGGGAGCAGGTCGGTCCTGGTGACGATCTCAAGCCGGAGAACGTAAGCTATCCTGCATCCTACTCTCTCGACGCAGCCTCTGACATGCACGCAGTTCAAGCTCCCAACGCCAAAGCCAGAGCCTCCCAAAGAGGGAGAGCAAAAGAAATAGAAGGCTTAGAGCATTTGGATTGTATATACCTGCGAATGAATGTGATTGTACAACATCCGATGGCCCACAACGAATACCCGCTGCTGTGATGATTTGCTCGGTGTAGTTGCTTCACTTGTCGGCGCTTTTGAGTCTGCACATCCAGATTGCACGTCGGAGTAAGATTCACAAGACTTTCAGATGGAATCAGCCATGCTAGGCACAGGTCCGACTACTGCAGCGCGATCGCGTCTCGTATTTCGTATTTGAAGTTTCGATGCTCATGCCAAGCAGATCTCGCATTTCCCCGCCCAATCAGGGAAGCGCCTAGCACTGCACCTTCCTCCGTCAGTTCCCACTTGTCGGGTAAACACCGGTAACCGCTACAACATCTTGCATGATCTGCCGTAGTATGGCTTGATGTGTAAGACGAACCACCACAGCTACCCATCGGAAGTCGAACCTCGCACGTTCTCACCCGGAACAGTACCCCGCTTTCCCCGTCTGCATCACAAGATGCCGACATCCCAGGATGAAAAGGCTTCGGGGTAATCTCCTTTGGTAACCTGAGTGGGCTCTTGAGCATGGGGACCTCCACCGCCATCACAATTATCAAGCTGTATCAAACCGACGTTCTACCGTACTTCCGACTTCCAGCCAATCGCATGCGTTACCATACTCTCGCAGTAATCGCCGTCGTCACACCTGTAGAGCTGTCTTGCATCACTGTGCCAAGGTATAAATACAATCAGGATTCCATAGATTAACATGCATCATCAAGATGAAGTCCTCCATTCTCTCTTTCCTCGCAGCTACAGCCACAGCCGCAGTCACCATGTCCAACACGACTACCACAACCATCAAGCCTTTCAGCCTCTCGGCTCCACCAAACACTGACATCTGGCGCAAGCCTCCCATGCACAACGCCTTCAATGCATCGACCTACCCAGAGCAGCTCCCAAGCTTCACTCTGAAGAACTTCCAGCGAGCGCAGCTGTCGTTCGAGCTTCCACCGTCTGACCAACTCCGCCAATACGACCAAGCTGGCCTCTTGCTACATGTCACCAAGCCAGGTGTTCCAGACAACCAAACCAAATGGATCAAGACTGGTATCGAGTTCTACTACGGAAAGCCGTATGTGGCGACCGTGGGCTGTGATGCTTGGGCTGACTGGTCACTTACACCCATGCCTGAGTTCAAGAACGGTACTATGCCCGGCGCCACCATTGAGGCGAGAAGGGAGAGCGATGCGCTCGGCAATAGTCTTTGGATTTACTGGATCATCAAGGACGAGGCTGGCAAGGAGGTCAGCAGGCAGCCGTTGAGAGAGGTCACCTGGGTGCTTGCGGAGGAGTATGAGCGATGGAGCGTGAGTATCGCAGGATACGTTTGTCGCCCGACCACGGCAGGTGGCGATGGGATGCTTGAGGCAGAGTTCAAGGACGGTCTGGAGATTGAGACTCTCAATCACGTGTAAGGGGAGAGTGCGAGATTGGCGTTTGTTATGGTACGTGATTTCGTCACCTGGGGTTGCGATAGTACCTGACAGCAAACAGTAGATGGTGTATAAGTCGCAGTGACGCGTTGATAGCCAGTAAATATCATCGTTTACTTCCATATATACGAACTTCCCCGCATGTATCTTGCTCAATAGGGCTATCAGATCCATATCTTACGACTGTAGTGAGCACAATATGACCCAAGTCTGCTTCCAGGAGAGTCAAGTGAGCAATCACTGGCTCCTGAAAAGGGTCAGCCGAGCGTAAGCGACGGTTTCTCTCATTCATTGAGCAAAGCAAACTCACTGCGCCTGCCTAGAGAGCACTGACCTCTAGGCTATATATCCTCATCGATTCTAATATCTTGATCTACACTCCCTCTTCGATAAGATTAGCTATCTAATTCAATATCCTCTACGATTCCCGACCATGGTCAACGTCCAACTATACTGCCCTTCCACGAAGAAGACCGTCGAGGAGTTCTTTGTCTCCCCATTCACGACCCTCGAGCAATTCCTCCCAAGTGTACGACTTGCCCTCAACCTCAAGTACGCAGCGATCTACACCACCGAGGCCAAACCGATCACGGAACCAAGCACTCTTCAAGAAGACCAGCGGGTACTAGTAGCGGCCAGCGCCACGGAGGTTATGCTACCCCATTCGCCATCCGAGTGGGTGTTGTACGATGGCGAGGAGGGCGACGATGTCGACCCAAACGTCGAGTGTTATGGCCTTGGGTGGGTTGTAAGTTTACAATGGCCTTTATCAACGACAAAGCAAAGTTATTGACTAGGATGTAGGAATTATGTGATCTCGACAAGTGCCTACACATAACCAGCCTGAACAAGCAGAAGCCGACAACTCGCAACAGGATGCGCATCACGCGCGAGTACAAGCTTGTTGAGGCCGACATCGACGCCTTGGACTCTACAACCTCGACTACTTCCAGTGTTGCCGAAGACGAGGACCACATCGAGAAGTGTTGGGGCGTCGCTGTCGAGCAATTCTTGCCTACGTCGATGAAGCCCGCCGCCGCAAAGTCCAGCTCGAAGTCATGCGATCCTTCCACACTGGCTGTCCTTAGTATCCTGGCAGGCTTCACTCAAGGTCAATCTCGTCTCGTCCTCGAAGTTCTCGAAGAGGCTGTCGCCCTTCGGACGGAAGAGGATCAGGGTAACGACAAAGATCCCATTTTGCGAAAAGACGATGTGCTTAGCGCGATTAATATCATTTACGAGCGCGCTGAAGCCCTTCCAGCCAAGCTCATCAAAGGCAAGGGCGCGAAAGGAAAGGGAAAGGGGAAGAGGAGGCCTTCGAAGGGCACTCCGAAGAAGCTTGGCGCTATGTCGAGTTGAGTGAAGTGATGGATGGACGAGGCGGCTACAAGACGGGTCTAGTGTTTACATGGAGTTACTTGAGCGAGCGAGGATATACCCGGAGTGTTTTGAAAGTGAAATTAGAGATGGGAAGTCTTACCCAGGCGGATATATTGGGTTTGTACGGTATGCATGAGCAATGGGAGATACCTATGTAGCTGGGATGACTGTGTACGGAACATGATTGCAATGGATCTATCAAGTTTGTATTTGTCTACCAACTGCCTTCATTACTAACAAGCAGAGGCATCAGGATATGTATACTTATATCTTCCGATACCTCCCCTCTCACATCTTCCACATTCCACCTCACCTACACGCCCAAAGAATGTCAGGACTACCACCACCAAGTGCAAAACCAGCAAACGCGCAAGTTACAGAAGAACCTGCCATCTCTAGTATGTTCAACTCCAAAGCTATTTCCCAATCAAACCGTACCAGTCATCTAATCAAGCAGGTCAATGGCTTCTAGACAAACTCAAGAAGAAGTCCCGTGAAGACAGAGAAGATTGTACATTCAATATCCAGCTCACTCTCTTTCCACCATTCATACCCCCGAACTTACCACTCTATATCCTCATACCCCAACCCCTCAACCCTTCTAGACTATCCTAACGCCACCCACAGACCTCCGTATCCTCCGCTTCCACGTCAAAGAAAGCGCCGCAGAGAATGCATTGCAACAAGCACGCAACACCACAATTTCCGAATTTGTGCTACAGAAACTTCAGAAACTTGAAGGTGAACATCCGGAACACGATGTCGATGCGGCGAGGGAGTATGAGAGAATGACGAGGTGGAAGCTAATAATTGAGAAGGCTGTCAGTGATGCTAAGCATGAGGGGTTGGTGGAGTTGGTGAGGAGGATTGAGGAGCTGATTGAGGGTGATGCAGATGGACAGGCTGGGGTTTGATGATGCGGGTTTGTGACGGTCACGGGGCGAAAGACGAGACTGTTAAAACGACGATCGAAATGACATGGGGTCTGCATACCGCTTGCCTTGGTAAATCCACGTAGCGAGGAGTAAGCAGCAAAGCCCATCGAATCCATCGAGTTTGTAGCTGTGTACCAAGCACCTCAGGTACTAACAAATAATTGTCACCGATACAAGCATGACCACATATATCAGCGTCAGATTCTTTCCAACATCCTTACTCCATCTGCTGCACACCTAGAAGACAGCATCCCGAACGCATCGCTCAAGTATCTTCAAACAATTTGATCAGCATGGCCGAACAAGAACAGCCACCAGGCCCGCAAATCTACATGTCCCAAGGGGATAAGTTCTCTAGTAACGAAGCCCCCAAAGTCCCTTCTTGGAAAAGTCAACGACTTGCTAACTCGATACCATGAAGCGGTGACGGAATACCTAGATTTCCTCCAAACCCAATCACGACGTCCTAAAGAAGAATGTACGTACACCCCACACCCCAGACGGGCTCCTTCTCTGCAACCGTCACTCACGTGTACATTTTGACACTTGTATAGGCCTGACCGTCCTGAAGAAGTCCATTGACAAGAGCGTGAGACGTGTAGCTGAACATCGTGAACGCGACGAATTAGTCATAGAACTCGCTCAGTCAGGGTTCGAGGCTATGGAAGAAGGAGAAGAACGAAAGCGCGCGGTGGAGAAGCACGAGTTTAAGATGAAGAAGAGAATGTTCGAGTCGTTGGTGGACGCTGCCATGCATGACGGCTTACAGAAGTTGACCGGTGCGGTCGAGGAAATCGTGCGGAATCATGTGCCGAATGAGGCCGATGCTCATCAATCGTAGATGGAGAGGGTTGGCTAGGTTTGTAGTTTGCGTGCTCTTTGTCCCAGGGCATTGATGTAGTCGATAGCAAGCACACTCCTGGTATAAATCCTAACGGTGCGGTGCTCGTTCACTCACAATCTTTATTATTCTTCTCCCGATCCTCTCTTACTCACACACAAACTCATTTCAGACCTTCCTATCCCAAAAGGGCTTCCAAAGAACCGCCGACGGCTATGTCAAGTCAAAGGCCCTTAAGCCCACCCAGTCGTTCGAATGTGACCAGTAAGTACAACCACAACGTCCTTCTCCAAGGAGCAAGTAGCAGGTCTAACGAATTACAATGAAACAAGCTCATGGTTTACTCTGCCGCTTCCCCAGATATCTTCCCAAGACCGGGAGGAATGTATGTACCTAGCTCTCCTCCCTTTACCTCCTCACACCTGAGTATTCTGCTCCAACTCAGACTAATCTACACGTTACTATAACAAAATACCATCCCATGTATTCTGACACATATCCAGACGTCCGCACCCTCCAATCCCATGTCCACGATAGCCTTGTGGCTATAGATTCATTAAGATGCGCTGATGGTGTACCCCGGGCAAGAACTCGCGTTGAAGACCTGGAGGAGCAATTGAAGCGTGCGCAGGAGCATCTAGAGGAAGAGAAACGACGGGTGATGTTTGAGAAGGCAGTCCATGATGCTAAGCACGAAGGCTTGGTGGCGCTGCTTAGCAAGGTTGAGAACACCTTATGGGGATAATGCGAAGAGTGGATACTATCACGAGCGTAAGCTATAGCTACAACATCGAAGGATACGACGTCCATCGGGTTTGTGGTTTGTCGACTTACTGATTGTCCTGTGAACCGACAGGATATCTAGCAAACTGCACGCGGCCTATACATTCATGATACTACGCTCTCTTCTTAGCAGTTTCCCAGATCCGTCTCCCTTCTACCAATCTGTTATTGCACCTTAACCCACCAAACTACTTTCCACATCTCCATCCCAAGACCCTCTCCATAAACCGAAACCAAAATGTCCGACGACGAAGAAGCTCCACTCCCGGCAACCATCGAGATCAATAGTAGGCAACCTTCCCTCCCCCCTCTTGCAGAACCGCTACCCTAGCCATAAGAAAGTACCAGCTAACCAGCCCCTCCTCAACAGCATCATGGTTTCTATCCAAACTCCCACAGCTATCGCATGAAGATAGACACGAATGTAAGTAACCATCGCCATGCTACCTACGTATTCCAACACAGCCAAAACACGCTACTAATCCAACCTAATCCTTACACAGACAACGCCGTTCTCATCCGTAACATCGAAACCATGATGCAAGAGTTGGGATTGCCCGACCCTGATCACCACGCCGCCAATGTGAACGCCGATGCTGAAGTCGTGGCAGCAAGGAGATCAGTTGCGCAAGCGAAGGAGCTGCTGAAGCTTGCGGAGGAACGTTTCCATCGTGTGCATGATATATCCATTGCTCTGGGTCAGGAGAAGGGTAGGAAGATTAGAGCCTTCCGTATGCTGCTGAAGAAGATTAGAGAGGCTATGCGAGAGGAGGGGTGGACAGATCTTGGGGAGGCAAGTGAAGAAGAGGCTGACAGCTCTGATAGTAGCTGATTTCCAGGCTGTAAAAGAACCTGATGATATGTAGATTTGGTAGATGATGCCTTACATGTTACTTACACCCCAGACCCACCCATCTCATTCCTGGTCTTCATCCCTTTACGCCGCCTGCGCAGCCCTCAACCCCCCTCTCTGTCCCGCATTCCGGCTCCTGACCTCAGTCTGCCCAACCTCCAAATGCGTGCCTGCCCTGCTCTTCTCTAGCGACACCGCCGCCCGATCAGTCACTTCGATATAATCCTTCGCATCACGCTCGACCGCACCAGGAGTAGAGACGTGAATACCCTCAACGAGAACCTTCTCATCATCCGGTATCTCCAGTGTAGTTTCCTTAATTTCTGGACCTTGTGTCTTTGTGCCGAAGGGCGGGTCGAAGCGTTTCCGCAGCGTTTCGATCATCTTGCCGAACCAGAACCAGTTCAGGCCGTTGAGAATGATGTTGGAGGCGAGATAGGCGGTTATGAGCCAGAGAGGGACGGTTTGGCCTTCAGCGAATCGAAGGATGTCGTGCTTGAAGCCGGCGTTGTGCAGGGTGGTGTTTTGCGATAGCTTTCCAACGTCTGGGTCCGAGTGTGTGTATGCGCCGGCAGCGTAGGCGTGGTAGACGTCGGTGAAGACGCGGATGGAGTTGTAGGAGCCCCACACGATACGGCAGGAGAAGAAGGTGCATAGCAGGATTATGCCGTTGACGAGCTGGATGGTGGTGCCGGTCATGTTAAGCTTATCGCAGAACCAGTGGATGTTTAGGAAGGGCGAGGAGAGTTCGTAGAGGATAAAGGTGCACGCGTAGTAGTTCACGAAGGGACGCTGTCACACGATCAGTACTCCGAATAGCTCCCATGTGCTCTGGGAAGCACCGTGGTCTACTTACGAAACCCAGCGAGAATACGCAGAGGGCACAGATAGCATGGAACAGCATGCCGGTACCGAATGCCTTGACATTCTGCAGCGTGATGACCAAGTCCCACAGGAAGTAGCCTCCTGCCATAGCTTGGATCAAGCCAGACGCTCCAGTGTATCCATGCACGCGCTCCGTCGAGTCCATCTGATTCAGCTCCTTATCCGTCCACATGACCCATAGCGCCATTCCGCAGACCAGCGTGCTCTGCACAAATGACACGATGTGCACATCCCAGTTGAGCTTGGTTCGCGCGGTGAAGTTGGCGTATATCCGCGGGAAGAAGAAGCGTGAGATGGCGGGGGCGCCGTAGCTGAAGATAATCTGGTAGAACGTGAAGGCTATCGCGACTTCGTGGAAGTGCAGCGGCAGCGACTTCATGTTGAGGAAGTCGGCGACGGGCTGTACATATTTGACCAGGCTCTCCGGCGGCGCGAAAGGGAACGGGTCGTGCATTGTGGCAGTCGGGTGTGGGGTGCAGCAGACGCGGAGGTAGGTGGAGGTGGAGGTGCGAGGAGTGATGTCAGGGCGGTAAGAGTTGCACGCGAGCAGGAGCGATGGTCCCTTCTTATGCAGGGAAGCAGCGGAGGGGCGTTCGGCAGGAAGGCAGAGCAAGAGCGGTTTTATACTCGGGTAGATACGAAGATCCAAGGCCGCGGCGGCACAATGATGCACGCCGCTCGAGGATGCCTGGGAAAAGGTGCGGATGACGACCAAGCTTGGTGCAGTCCCTTGTTCTAAGCCGAGATGCGATTAGCGAGCCGAGGACCCATCGCCCTGCGCCAGAGGCACACGACAGATTTCATGTCCACCGGGTCATTTTTGTGGAATGCTAAATCACTGCCACGGGACCACGTCATGTTGGATGCTGTTGGATGTGTTTGGGTGCAGTGCACCGCCACTAGAGGCGTCATGCCGTGACAAATCTCACCCTCTTCGGACGCCGCATCACCGCATACAATGAAGAAGTTGAACATTTGTTAGGAACAAATAGCTCAGAGGTTTTCGTTGACTTGGCTAACTTTCGTTGTATAATAAAGTAGACTGCAGTGCAGCTGCTCCGCGTTTTCCTCGTAGAGATGGTAGGGGGTATCTTAAAGCAATAACGTGATGATGATGATGAAGACGCCGCGCTCAAAGCCCATCAAGTCTGACGTTCTGATTGTGCCAGCAGTTTATGCATTTATCCGCCTTTAATCTCGCAGCGTATGCTACGAGGAACATCTCTGCAACGTACGATGTTCTCTCGATTCTATCGAGAAGGAAGTAGAAGTCCTGCAAACTCCTATAGCTAATGATCCGATTGCTGTGACAGAGTATATTTGCCGGGTGGGCGGTGAACTGGCTCTGTTGTGCGGCCGATACAGGTGAGTTGAAGAGGGCATTCATGCGTCTAGCCTCTTCCATGGAAGATACCGGCGGCGTAGGTAGCCCATAAAGATAGTCCGGCTGAGCAGACGCATGATCATGTGATGCCATGTTGTTTGGTCCTGTCCATCCTCCTGTGTTTCCTCCGGGTAGGAGAGTACCTGCTGCTCTGTTTCCGGCCAGCCCTCTTTCCATGTCCAACTGTGAACCAATCCACAATGACCACACAGCTTCTGTCAAGTTGTCATGTGTAGGTACAACGTTAAAAGCGAACCCCATCTCGTGCTCGTTGTTGAAAGGATAGTATCTGTTGGTCTGGCTATGCCTCCCACCAGGGAAATAGTCTTGGTAACTGACAGTGGCATTTGAAACGCCGAGTTCGTCGTTGACCTGCTTGTTGAAGTATGCGTTGCGATGCTTCTCACTCATCGACACCAGTCCTTCTTCCCACATAAGTCGCTCAGCGACTAGGAAAAGTTTACGCACGTGGGCATGCGCCTCACGCTTCCCTCTGCAGATGGGGCAACAGTAGAATGGCATGTACTGAAGGTTTGGAGTTTGCGTGGCATGTGCCTTCAATCCTGGTAATGGATATGGAATGAAGTCTTGACGCGGGAATGGTAAAGTCGCGGACTGTCCTTGGCCCCGACTCGTACTTGTTCTGCGCCTTCCCTCAGTTTCAGCAATAGAGCCATTTTCGAAGCAGATGTTGGAGTCTTCCGGGTCGGCCAGAGGGTCGCATGCCGGGTCAATTGGGCGATTGCCAGGATTGGAAGTCATGGTGAGTAAGTCGTAGGAGAGAGGCCAAGAGAACTCATGATTTACACAGGTCTGTCAGGCAGGCTTTTACACTCTTATTCGAAGCCCTGACCCAACATGAGGATGTATTACGAGTACTTGCGAGTGTCTCACTGGGGCTTTAGAGGGTCACCGCGGTACCGTGGTCGTGAGCGGGTTAAGGTGGGAGGACAGGCGAATAGACATTCTGCCCTCAGATACTGTTGAATTTACGCGTAGACTTGACATCTTAATCGTCTGGCTGATCCTCAACAGACACATCCTGCGAATAGTACACTGGTGTGAGGCGGAGTGAGAGAATGCGGGGAGGTTTCG